TTTGGTGACTCTTTGGTTCTCGGCCTCCTAAGGTTTTGTTGTTGATAGTTTTCGGTACCCCGTCAGTTTTCGGCGCTCATTTGGTTTGGTTTTCGCCGCTCCTTTGGGTTTTCGGTGCATCAGTCGTTTTCCGCGCCGCCGTGTTTTTTTCGTTTTCTGTTTTCGGCGACTCTTGTTGTTCTCGGCGCTCTTTGCGTGTTCGGCGCTCCTTTTGGTTTTCGAAGCCCTGCTGTCGGGTATGGCCAGGACCCCGGGTAAGGGGACCCGGTTAGTGGTAGGGCCCTGGAGCCTTCGAACTGGCCAGAATCATTAAACCAGGTTTGCCATAGCTGGTGTTTTTTCGGGTGACGGCAGTTCCGGCTAGTGGAAATGGGACCGGGGGGCGCCTCCGGTGCAGATCACTAAAAACCAGGTTCCACTAAACCCAGTTCTGCCAACGCCCGATGTTGGCTGTCGGAGCATACATGCTTTGGTTTCGACGTTCCTTTGGTTTGCGGCGCCGCTGTGCTCGTCGGCGCTCTTTGGTTTTCGGCGATCCACTGGCTTTCGGTCTATTGGGTTCTCGGCGCCATTTGGGCTCGCGGTGTGCTTTTGGTGTACGGCGCACCTTTTGTTTTTGCCGCTCGTTTGGTTTTCGGCGCGCCATTGTTTTTCTGCGCGTCCTTTGAGTGTGGCCACCGGTTGGTTGGCGGCGCCCTTTCGGTTTCCGGCGCGCCCTTGGTATTCGGCGCTTTCTTGGTTTTAAGTGCCCTTCTGGTTTCCGGCGCTCGTTTCGTTATTGGCTTTCTTTTCGGTGGCGCTTCTTTTGTTTTTCGTTCTCCTCCGGGTGTCTGTCATTTTTCGTCCGCGCTCTTTGATTTTTCGCGCTTTCTTAATTTTCGGGGCAGCGTTGGGTTTCGCAGTTCGTTCGGCCTTCGGCGCCCGTTGGAGGAGGAGGAGGGGAGCTTAGCTTCCGAGGAGCAGAAAAAGCAGGAGGGGGGGGGGCTTCCAGCAGGGGGGGGGCCCAGGAGAGGGGAGGTAGCTAAGTTCCCCCCCCCCCCCTTTGGGAAAGGTAGCGGGGAGGGGCAGCTTCCAAAGTGCGAGAGGAAGGGGGCGGGGGGTAGCTTCCGGGGGGGGGGGGGGGGAACTTCCGGCAGCTGGGGTCAGGGGGGGGGGGGCTAACCCCCCCTCCATTGGGAAATATTCTTTCCCAATGGAGGGGGGGGGGCTACCCCCCCCTCCATTGGGAAAGATTCTGCCCCCCTTGTCTTTCCGAAAGAAAAGGGGGGCAGCCTCCAGAGCGCGAGAGGGGGGGGGGTAGCTTCCGAGAGGCGAGAAAAAAGGAGGGGGGCGGGGGGGCTTCCGGCAGGGGAGGTTTAAGGGAAGGGGGGCGCAGCTCAGCCCCCCCCCTCCTTTTTGGAAATGGAGGAGGGTGTTTAGCTTCCGGAGCGCGAAAGGGAGGGGAGGTTAGCTTCCGAAGGGCAAAGAAGAGGAGGGAGGGGGGCTTCGGCAGGGCAGGTCGGGGGGGGGTCAACTATGGCCCCCCCCCAAGTGGGAGTGCGACACGAGCGCGCGCTCTCCAACGCCTGGGTCTCACTATCCATTTCGGTCTCACTACGTGTCGACTGACAACCGCGGGACAGCACCGGGACAATCGCGTGTCAATCATGGGACAACCATGGGGCACAACCGCAAAACAACCACGGGACAACCAAGGGACAACCGCGGGACAACCATCGTGACACCTATTGGGGCAATCATAGGGGCAAACATCGAGGCAACAAGCGGGACAACCATGGCACAACAGTCGGGACAACTATTTGGACAACCGTGGGGACGACCGCGCCACGGCCGCGTCTCGGCCGCGGCACAGCCACGGTCGGGCCCTGGCGCACGGGGGCCCGATTCATTCGGTCGTGACTTGGGCCTATGGAGCAGAAGTGGGGGCAGAAAAGAGAGAGACAGCATAAGAAAGGAGAAGGAGAAAAAGAGAGAAAGAGAGAGAGAGAGAGAGAGAGAGAGCGAGGCGCGCGCGACGACGACGAGCAGACGACGGTGACGCCGGCCCGCGCGCGCTCGGCTCAAACCAGCCAGCGCCGCCCCCCCTCCGTGCAGCGCGCAGGGCTGGCCAGGGGGGCGGGCTGCGCGAGCTCATTTTCTCCGATGCGTGCACGGTCCGCGGATGCAGTTCGTTGCAGTGTTTCGACGTCGGGCTGTGGCGCAGCGGAGGATGCCGGCGCTGCTGTGGGGCACCCTTTCGGCGGCCGCCTCGCGCCGCATGGGAACCTTGAGCACTTCGGGGTCATCGCAAGTCGAGGGTTCGACCCTCGAAGCATCCTCAGGAAACCGATGTTGGAAAGGGATGCGCCAGCCGAGCGAGATGGCCACGTCGTGGGCCGAGCTTCTCGTAGCGCTTACGAGGCACGGCAGCAGCGTGCGTTTTCCTCGCTGGTTACTGGGTTGGCGCCGCACGTTGAGCCGTTGGTCGAGAAGCAGAACACCATGACTGCGAAACGGACATGTCCCTTCGGAGGTGCAGGCTGCACAGGTAAGGCTGCGCTCCAAACCACCTGGCCATCCACCGAAGGTGTAGGAGATCGCGCGCCGCCTGTCCCTATCGTCGGGGCAAGACGGCTGCGTATGTTCTGCGATGAGTAACCTCTAGAGGTCTTTTGTTTTGGTACCCCCCCCTGTTTTACTCGGCGGTGAATAAACTGGTCGCTCCCCCCCCTCCCTCCCCCCCTCCTCCTCCTCCTCCTCCTCCTCCTCCTCCTCCTCCTCCTCCCCCTCCTCTTCCCCTCCTCCGTTACCCCGAGGAGTCGGCTGAGGGCATTCAGCGCACGGGGCGGCGCTGCCGAACCCTCAAGTGGAGCTGCTCGTGGCCCCGCGCGCGCGGCGTTCAGGGCGCTGCCGACATGGCGCCGAGCGGTCGGGCCCCGACACCGTGGTGGCGACTGCGGGCCCGGACGCGCCGCTGCGTAGAGGGCTCCCCTCCTCCCCCGCCTCCTCCTCCTCCTCTCCTCCTCTCCTCCTCCTCCTCCTCTCCTCCTCCTCCTCCTCATCCTCCTCCTCTTCCCCCTCCTCCCCCTCCTCCTCCCCTCCTCCTCCTCCCCCTCCTCCTCCTCCTCCTCTTCCGCACCTGGGCCCTATGCGAAAGAAGAGCTGTTCCCAGATATAGCGAGTGGGTTCGCCAAGGGGGGGTTCTCTGACCCGCAGGATGATGACGCCCCGAACGCCCTTCATAGGGCACGTGGAACAAAAATCGTCCTGTCGGCGAGTGCCCCGCTCAGACTTCTCCACCGACAGCCTGAAGGGGGGCACATTGTTTGGAGGCGTTAATAAGGTTGAAGGATCGACGACGGATGTACCCCCCAGATTTCTCACAGCAGAATTTCTCGTCGTCTGCGCCAGCTGTGTGGGAATGCCGTTGCAGGCGGCGCTTCCGAGAAATTCGCGCTACAAGGAGGAGGAAGCGTTGAGGTCTGCGATGGTTGACTCTTGCCTTTGCGGCGTCAGAGTTCGCCGCCCTTCCGAGCGAAGAAGAGGATATGGGTGTTCAGCGAGCCGCGCGACCCTCTTGCATCATTACCCTGCCGCCACCCCAGGCAACTGGATGGAGAGAAGCCGCGCATCGAGCTTGCGTTCAAGTGGGCCGCGCCAGGCCAGCAAACGAACAAGAGTTTTGCTGCAGTTTTGGAGAGGTCGCGGCTGGTGTTTGGCGCCATCTCTTGCCTCCCGGAGCTGTTTTTCTCATGGCCGAGGGTGCGGTGAGTGGCGGTGACGGGTCCCGTTGGGCAGCCGCTGGCGATCTTCGGTTGGTGTCGGTGTTTGCATTTCGTGCGTGTCAGTCGTCGCCACCGTGACTCTGATGCGTGACGTGGACAGGAACAAACCACGCATTGGTCATTCCGTCCGCTTGCGGCGACGCGCCAGGCGACGAGCGTAGCCCCATCATTCTCGGCCATCCACCAAACGTGCAGCAGACTTGCCGTGCAGAATGCCAACAGCCCAAGCAACGAGGTCGATGTTGCTTCAGACGAGTCGAACGCATCATCAGCCCACACCCTGATATCATCGTGAACCTTCGTGCATCCATGACCCGCAGAGGCTCCATATTGCCAAACGGCATGTTGTTCGCGACCAGCCGAGTTTCACAGTCTCCCGGGGCCTCGCGCGGCCAGGCTACCCTTCAAGTGTTGAAGAGCGGTTGCAAACTGCGGAATCCCAGGGCTTCACGCAGCCCAGCAATGTCGTGAACGTCCAAGGCCCCACGCAAAACGAGGCGTTATCACCATATGATTGTCTGGCAGCTTTAGTGCCCACGAACTGAGACCAGGACACGGTCCATCATCCTACTGCTCCTCCTCCCCGTTTTCGCCATCAGCGTCCTTGCCCTCCCCCTCTTCGTCCTCCTCCTCCTTCTCTTCGTCCTTCTCTTTCCCCCTCTTAGTCATTATCCTCTTCGTCCTTCTCATTCCTCATATTCGTCTTCCCCCCTCCTCCTCCTCTTCCTCCTCCTCCTTTTCTTCCTCTTCGTCGTCCTCCTCCTCCTCCTCCTCCTCCAAGGCCCTGACGATTGACGAGATCGAGCTCGCGGCGCGAACAGGGAAGCTGGCACTGCCAGACGGCATCAAAGAGTTCGTAGAGCCAGCCAAGCTCCTCGAGATGTTCGGCTTCTTGGACAACGACCAGTCTGGAACCCAGGAGGAGGAGGAGGAGGAGGAGGAGGAGGAGGAGGAGGAGGAGGAGGAGGAGGAGGAAGGAGCAGAACGGGGGAGAGAGGAGGACGAGGAAGGACAAGGAAACAGAGGAGGCGGTAAGCTTGAGTCTCGCCTTGGATTCTGTCCTCTGGAGGTATGGCAGGCCCCTTGAGGTCCCCAGTGCAGAAGCCCCGAGCGGGCGGAATGCGCGCAAATGGGCAGAGACACGCCCGAGAACCCTCCTCCTCGAGGGTTGAGGGCAAAGGTCGAGGAGGAGGAGGAGGAGGAGGAGGAGGAGGAGGAGGAGGAGGGGAGGAGGGGGAGGAGGAGGAGGAGGAGGGGTAGGAGGAGGAGGAGGGGGAGGAGGAGAGGAGAAGGAGAAGAAGGAGGAGGAGGAGGAGGAGGAACAGGAGGAGGGGGAGGGGGAGGAGGGGGAGGAGGAGAAGGAGAAAGGAGGAGGAGGAGGAGGAGGGGGAGGAGGAGGAGGAGGAGGAGGAGGAGGAGGAGGAGGAGGCGGAGGAGGGGGAGTAGGGGGATTTTTCAACATCAACCGCAGAGGGGGTGAATGCCTCCAGGATGAAACAGCACTGGGCGGAAACATCGCCTGGGGCAAAGGACCTGGGCGGTGGCCTACGCTAAACGACGGGCACCCCAGGACCGCAGGCTCAGTCGGAGTCGCCAGACCCCGCTGACCTTGCACGAGCAGCTCCAGAGGTAGACGGGTCCTCATCCACCGTAGGGAGCTCGTCGGACTCCACCGACCCCACCGCGTTGGGAGGGGTGGAGGAGGAGGAAGAAAGTCCCAGGACACCAGGCGGTCCAGCCTGTCCCGCCCCCCACCCGTCACGATCACGATCCGACGGCGGGACGACCAAGGTGGGGGGCGGCGCGGGCGCCTGGTGGTGGACCACGTCATCGTGGCCGAGGGGTGGCTCCGACGACGTGTCGTCGAGGCCAGAGGTGAGCGGCACTCCGCTTTTGGGGTGCCGTCCTTTCATGATCACATTCCACGCGTGCCTGCGGCCATGATCAGACTTGTTCTGCCTGTCGGGTGGGCCAGGGCACTGCTTGCCCAGGTTCCTGACCTGGCCGCCGCACGTATAATAGAAGCATCGGGTGCAGGCAACTAAGATGCCACCACCCTGGTTCACATCAAAGAAAACAGGTGTGTGCCCGTGGTCGACCAAGCCCTGCCCCGTGAGGCCCTTGATCGTGGCCGCGCCACGACATCGGCCAGGGGAGGGCTTCTGAGGATCACGAGCACAGCGAAAACACGAGGCACAAATCCAAAACCTGCCCTCCCAGGACCAGTCGTGAGGGGGAAGAGGGGGAGGCCTCGGAGCGGAGGGGGGCTTGGTCCAGGAGGCCTCTGAAAGATCCAACTTGGGCCACAGAGACATGATGCGTGCCGCCAGCTTGCACACTACACGAGAGATGCGGGCTGCCCGAGCAGCCCGCTCAGCATCATCTGGGTCTGGCGACGGGTGTCTCAGGGCGGCAAGGCGGGCAGCCTGCCTGGTCAGCACAATCGTTCCCGAACTTATGGGCACGCTCCTCAGGCGTGAGGTCAGCGCACTCGGGAACGTGCCCCTTCATCTTACTGACAGCGCTGGCTATAGGGCCCAGGGCCTGGAGCATAAACCCAGCGTTCGGGCGGCGAAAAGACAGGCGGGAGGGGATGGGGTCAAGAGCTGAGTTAACCACATTCTGGCAGTCGCTAAACTTGTGACTGCCTACATCTCCACACTGGGCGGCCGTAGTATAGGCCGCGTACTCGGCAGCTTGCGAGTTTGGGGGAAGTGCGGGGCAGTAGGGGGACGAGGAGGAGGAGGAGGAGGAGGAGGAGGAGGAGGAGGAGGAGGGGGAGGGGGGGGGTGGGGGTGGGGGGAGGAGGAGGAGGAGGAGGAGGAGGAGGAGGAGGAGGAGGAGGAGGAGGAGGAGAGGAGGAGGAGGAGGAGAGGAGGAGGAGGAGGAGGAGGGGAGGAGGAGGAGGAGGAGGGGGAGGAGGAGGGGAGGGGGAGGAGTGGGAGGAGGGGGGGAGGGGGAGGAGGAGGGGGAGGAGGGAGAGGAGGAGGAGGAGGAGGAGGAGGAGGAGGAGGAGGAGGAGGAGGAGGAGGAGGAGGAGGAGGAGGGGAGGGGGAGGAGGAGGGGGGGGAGGAGGAGGAGGAGGGGGAGGAGGAGGAGGAGGAGGAGGACGACGAGGAGGAGGAGGAGGAGGAGGAGGAGGAGGAGGAGGGGAGGAGGGGGACGAGGAGGAGGAGGGGGAGGAGGAGGAGGAGGAGGAGGAGGTCGATAGGAGAATTCGGGGAGGCCTCGACGCGTCGGCCCGGGCTTGGCCAGAGCACCGCCTCGGCCGCTCCCCGATCGGGGCTGGGCCGCCCGTGATCGAGCCCTCGATCCGATAGGTGCTCCGCGCGCGCTGGGACGACGACGACGACGAGGACGAGGACGACGACGACGACGACGACGACGACGACGACGACGACGACGACGACGACGAGGACGACGACGACGAGGACGACGACGACGACGACGACGACGACGACGACGACGACGACGACGACGACGACGACGACGACGAGGACGACGCCCAGGTGCTGGGGCGCTCGGTCCGAAGGGTGGCCGGCTCGAGACGGGGGTCAGCCCATCGATCGGCCTCGGCTTGCTGGGGCCGCGCAGGTCCGGGGACATCACGAGGGACGAGTTCGTCGACGGCGTGTGCAGCCTCGTGGTGTCCTCCGTGCCCATCGAGACGACTCAGATACTGCAGCTGATGCGGCAGACACACCGTGCAGCGATGGACACACTGCAGGCGGTTCAGGTGAGCCCTCCCCTCTTCCCCCCCCCCTTCCCTGCTCCCTTCCCGCTCCTCCCCCTCCCAAAGCTGCACGATCTGATCGCCATTCTCCTCTCTCCCCTGAGGATGGCCTGAGCGTAGCGCGCCGCCTTTCCGCGTTGGAGTTTTTTCACACACATACACACACTGGATTGGTCCGAGCCTGTTGTTCCGATGCCTTATTTCAATTCGAGCTTTTCGGTCCTTCCAGAATGACGGTCCCGCTGCAGCGCTGGCCTAATTTTAGGATCGGCGCCTTGCTCCCGTCGTTCATCATGGCGCTCTCGCGGCGAGAGCGCCAGGCCGCTTTACTGTATCCGGATGTTTAATCATCGTTGTCGGCCCGCTCGTTTTCCTTCCTCCGCCTTCTCCCCCTCCTGGTCCTCCCGCTCCAGCTTTTGCTGCTGCTGTTCCTCCTCGTCTTCCTCTTCCCTGATCCACCTCTGGAGTATGCTTTCTGCCACACGAGACTTGGGCGGTCTCGCGCCTCATGCTCATCCTCACCGTCTTCCCCCTTCTTCTTCCCCTTCTTCCAACCTCGTGACGCGGACGAGCGAATCCTGCAGGAGGGTACCTCGACAGTCTGAGGGTGTCTCGGATGACGGCCAATGGACAGGAAACATATGACCCCCGAGCATGGCCCCTGGAGTTCCAGCCACCTGCCACGAGGCGTGTAATTGGACTTTCGCGGACCATGCTCGGGGGCGGGAGGGCTCTCTTTTTTTCTGTTCTCTCTCCCTTTCTCTCTTTTGTTGTTCTCTCTCTCTCTCTCTCTCTCTCTCTCTCTTTCTTCCTCTCTCTCGATCTCTCTTTCTATGTTCCTCTCTCTCTCTCTCGCCCTTTGCCCTCGCCTCACGAAGGATCCACTCAGTGAGGATCCCTGTAGAAAGGATGCCTTAGGACCAATTCCTCGAATAAGGATCCGGAACCCTTTGAGAAGGAGCTCTTCGGCAGGAGGATATGGGTGGGACGCCTGGCTGCTCTCTCACGCACAGCCCACCACACAGAGGAGGGACGTGAAAGGACGAAATGTTTGCTTCCTCTCTTGCTCCCTCTCCCCCTCTCTCTCTCTCTCGTTCTTTCTCTCTCGCTCTCTCTCTCTCTCTGTCTCTCTCTCTCTCTCTCTCTGTTTCTCTCTCTCTCTCTCTATCCCTTCCTCCCGTTTCACATTCACGCAACGCCCAGCCAATGGGACCCCGATGGAACGCCATGCAAACGCTTCCGCTAGGGCCATCGCTAGAACTCCTCAATACGGACGCTTGTGACAAGGGCCCGTAGGAACTATTCCTTTCAGCGATTGTTCTTCAACATGAATGTGTAAGGCTGTCTGCATCAAGGGACCCTGAAGGAGGGTTCTTTTCTTGAGGGTTTTTAGTGCGGGTGCCTTTATAAGCATTCGTCAGCAAGGATGCCTTCAGCAAGGGGCCCTTGGTACAGGCCTCTGTAGTGAGGCATCCTTAGTGGGGGTGTCTCTGGTAAGGATCCCCTCAGTAAGGATCCTTGTGATACGGATTCATTGCTCGTGCTTCCTTATTCGTCTGCTGACACGGGTTACTTAGGAAGGCTGCTTTTCGTGATGGGGCCCGTAATAAGGATGCGTGCAGTGTGGCGCCCTTGGTGTGGATGCCGTTCCTGAAGGTGCCCTCAAGAAGGGTCCCTGCGGTAACAATTCCGTACTGCTACCCCTCTTCGCAGGGATTTCCTAAATACGGGTGTCTTCAGCTTAATCTGCGTTCATTGACATTGCTGCGTTTGTTTACCAAGGGGGGTCCTGCGTACGGGCGTTTTTAGTTTTGGAAGCCCATCGCGTGGACGCATGCATGAAGCAGTCTGATTGGGAGCCTTTACCACGAAACCCTAGCATATAATATCTTTAATGAGGGTCCTTAGTGATGTTGCTTGTCGTACGGGTCCCCTCTGTAAGGACCTCTGCAGTAAGGAGTCACTGTGCCTGGCTGCTTTAGTACGTGTTATGTGAGGAAGGATGTCTTTAGTATGGGATACTTAGTGTTGCGTATGTTGACTGTGTCTTTAATAAAGCCACCTTCCGCGAGGGTGCATGTAGTAAGGATCCCCACGTTAGGTAAATGCCCTTGCAGTAAGGAGTACATGCTGCTTCCTGTAGCATGGCCTATTTATGCGGTGCGCCTTCAGTGAGGCATCTGGAGTAAGGAGTCCTTTGGCGAGGAGCCCTTAGACAGGACGAACTGTGAGGGGGGTCGGGCTCCTCTCTCACACAAAACCCGCAACGCGGAGGGGGGAAGTGACAGGAGGAGTGGTTGCCCTCTCTCTCCCTCTCTCTTTCTTTCTTCCCCTCCCCCTTTTGCATTCACGCAGGGTCCAGCCAAAGCGCCCTTCTGGGACGCCGGGCGAAAGCCTCCACGGGGGCCATTGCTAGAGAACTTTAGTACGGATGCTTGTAGCAAGGGGCCCTTCGTGCGCATTCCGTCTGGTGCGTGGTCTTTGGTAAAGGGGACTTTAGTAAACATTCATTCGCACGGATGCCTGAATCAAGGGAACCTATGTAGTCAGGACGTCGTTTCAGTGAGGAGTCTTTGGCGAGGATGTTTTGGCCAAACATTTGTCAGTAAGGGTGACGTTAGCAAGGAATCCGTCGTAAAGACCCAGTGGGTGAGGACTCCTTGGTGAGAATGTCTTCAGCAAGGATCCCCTCAGAAAGGATCCCTGCGGTGACAAGGTGAGTACCCTGGAGTAGGGAGGGGACGGGGGGCGGGGGGTAAAGCGAGGAGGAGGGAGGAGGGAGGAGGAGGAGAAGGGGAGGGGTCAAGCTAGGCACGCTCGCGTCATATCTGACATCCTACCCCTCCCTCCCATCCCTTACCATGGCGTAGATCCCCTCTCTACTCGCACAGTCGGATGTCGAGCAGGGCAATGATCCCGAAAGGGTACGCGATGCATCGTAGAACACGGCATGGCATGCCGTAGAAGAGCACCGCAAAGCGTAGTATGTCACAGCATGGCGTGGCGTGGCGTAGTGAAGAATTGCATCACAAAGCTTTGCAACGCAAAGCATGGCATCGCACAGCGGCCCCGAACATAACATTGCATAGCATGGCGTTGAAGATCAAAACGTAGCATGGCATAGCACGACTTGGCACCTAAGCACTGCATATCACAGCTTCAGCTGAAGGCATGGCATCGCGCGGCGGAACGCAACCTAGCATTGCATTGCATGCCGTGGCATGGCACGGGAAATGACGCCACCGCTGCGGCGGGAGCACGATTCGGAACGAACGGAAGCGCGGAAATGAGGCCAGCGCTGCAGCGGGAGCACGATTCGGAACGAGCGGAAGCACGGAAATGAGGCCAGCGCTGCAGCGGGAGCACGATTCGGAACGAACGGGGCCCGAAAATGAGGCCGGCGCCTCAGCGAAAGCAGCATTTTGAAACAAATGCTGGCCAAAACCCAACTCCGGGGAATCCTGTGTTTTAAAAAACAGTACGCGGGGGGGGGGGGGGGGAGGGGCGGCGAACACTCCCAACCCGTCATCAGGGGAAGAAGAAGAGTAGTATTCATATTGAGTAATTGTATAGGGAGGGGGAGGTGATATAGCGAGGAGAGGGGAGGAGGGAGGAGGAGGAGGAGGAGGAGGAGGAGGAGGAGGAGGAGGAGGAGGAGGAGGAGGAGGAGGAGGAGGAGGGGGTAGAGGGAGGGGGAGGTGGTAGAGGAAGTAGGGAGGAGGGAGAGGAGGTAGTACGGTGTGTGTGTGTGTCTTCCCTACAATCATGCGCGCAGTCCGGTGCATGACAGCTTCGGCCGAGCCCACAATCTCGTGGACGCAAACTTCGGCAAAGTCCATGGACGCCTAGAGGCCTTCATCAAGGCATGCTCTCGGCTAGTTACCATGGCGCACCGCCATCCCACCTCGGACGCCCTGGCCCACCTCGTTTCCCGCGGACTTCTCTTGCCTGCAAGCCCACAGTTGCGCCGTTTGCGCTCTCTCGCAAGCCCGCCTCGGGTCCAGCGTTGGTCTTTTCCCAGAGGGGCCACCAGGCCACCAACCCGCAGTACCTGGGGGGCGGACTGTCGGGGGCTGGAAAAGACCTCTTCGCCATTTCCCCAACGAGCGTGCCGCCCGGGGCCGTTTCCTCCCCCCCAGCATCAGCCTGACAGACGACCGCCTCGAGTTGGGCATGGGTAACCCCCGCATCTTCTGCGGTCGGTGCGGGAAAAGGCCCTGTCAAGCCCCAAAAGGACAGTGGAGGGACGTGCGTGGACGAAGCGGTCAGGAACATGGTTGCTGCCAGCCGCCTGGATTTTTATCGCCGTAGAGTTGACTGTCGCTGGCACTGCTCCGGGTGCTGGCGCACCAACCTTTCAGTCAAGGGGTTGCCCGCACCAACCGACGGCAAAGTGGCAGCCCACCTAGCCACCCTCGGTCCACAGCGCACTGGCCTGCGCTGCCCCCCCGGCCCCCTGCCGGGTGATCCGCCCGCCCTCCCCGTCCAAGAGACCACCTCACTGGCAGACTTCCTGCTGGTCCTGACGGGCCCGCATGACCCTGTTCACACACGCACCACCATTCATGTATACCGCACCATAGACGAAAGGTTCGGCAGAAACCTCACTTGTGGCTTTTGAAAGTGCCAGTGCGATCGCTGCCCAAGGGACGCTCCAATGAAGCAGCGGCCATGCGGGGACGCCCCCCAGGGCATGTTTATCCTCCGTCCCGGGAAGGAAGTGCAGCCGGAGCTGCATGGCGGCATTCCTATCCCCAGTGAGCGCGCCCAAGCCTTCGCCAACATGCAGTGAGACGCCGCCTGGTTGTGCGAGTATTGCCTTATGCATGTGTGGGGTTCCCGCCCCAGCCAGGTCCAGATCGTCCTCGACAGGGGCGACCCCGACCTGTTCCCCAAAAGAGGCGAGGGACCGCCTCTTCCTGGGCCCGGGACCTCGCATGCACCCGGGCGGCCCAGCAGTCCGTTCCCGCCCACTGACTCCGACCCGCTGGGCGCCTGGGCCA